AGGGGAGGGGGTCCTGCCAGCAGGACCCTCCTCCCCTCCGGCCCCTTCTCCCACACCCTGCCAACAGTGTTACAAGACTCAGGCAAAACTACCTCCTGGATGGCAGAGCCGGGCCGGGCCCGGACTCGGCCATTCCTTCAGCTTTTCATTCACTTTTGAGACTTGCTGTACAGAAAAAAAGAAGAAAAATAATCTATTTAAATTTGGGAGCTCTATTTATGTATAAAAACCCACTGACGGTGGCCACGAGTTGGAGGCAGGAGCTGGTGCCTGGCTGAAGGTGGACACTGGGGGGAGGGGGAGTTTCTGTCTGTCCATCCAGGCGTGAGAGAGATGCTGTTGTGGACGCATGGACTTGGCCTGCCCCGCTGGGCATCCCTTGGCACACAGGAGCTGGACAGCTGCTGAGAGGTGGGTGAGGAGTGGGGAGGGGGGCTGGGGGCTGCCAGGCCATGCCTGTGCCTTACAGGGTGTGAGGTCCCTTCCCAGCACAGGGCTGGGGGTGGTTTTCCCCCCAGCTGCCCACTCGCAGGCAGGAGGGGGGCCATGGATACATCTTGTGCTGGGGGGTGGCCTCAGTGGCTACCAGCCCCTGCCTGCTCTCCCATGTCTGCCCCCTCCCCAGGGTTTCCTCTCCGGGACAGGACAATTCGGTGAGAGAAGGAGCCAAGACAAGGAGCCCATGTCCCCAAACGCCCCGGAGCAGCAGCACGTGTCCCCAGGTGAAATGCAGGGCTGGGTGCCTTGGGGAGGTGCCACCCCCAGGGCCTCCAACCCTGACAGAGCTCTGTACCCCCTCTCCCCAGGGCGTTGCAGGGGAAGAGCAGGATGCAGCAACAGACAGCAAGATGCACTGGCAGCAGGACTGGCAGCCACTGCCATGCGCTGTAGTGTGGCAAGGGACCAGCACAACACCCCCATCCCCTCGATGTCCACAGTGCCCCTGCAGCCCCAGACACCATGTATTTCTGCCCTCCTGTGTGGTGCTGTTGGAGAACTGGGGTTCAGGCACAGCCCTGCCCTCCACTGGACAACATATGGGAGTGAAAACATCCTCGAACAGCAGAGGAGCCCTGGACAAGGGCCTGCCTCCTTCTGGGGCCTCCAGCTCTTCATGGCACTTTCCAGGGGCAGCCACTGTCCCTAAATCCCCCCAACTACCTCTGCTCTGGCCGCCTCCTGGGGGAACTTGAGGGACTGAGGTGAGAAAAGCATCTCATGCTCTGGGGACAGAGCAGTGACACTGGAGAAGCCAGGGAGGGACAGACGTGTTGGGGTGCACATCTTCCCCTCTGTGTTCCTTGCTGGGACCTCCAGGATCAGGACATTGCTGGAGCTTAGCACTGCAGGGGGGGCAGGAGGGGGGTGGCAGCCCCTGGGGACCCTAATGGGCTGAAGCCCAGGTCCCCCTGCCCCAGAGGAGCAAGACTTAGGGGGAAGAGGCAAGAGGTAGACACCTGGGCTCTCCTATCCTGTGGCTCCCTTGTTTTTGATGCAAAAAGGGGGTGAGCCACCCCCAAGCACACACCCCACCCCCAAGGAGGAGCATTGCCCTCTGTGTCTGGCACCCCTTGTGCACAGCCCCACATGCCCCTGGCAATAAATGCGGCTCTGTCTGGATGTGGTGTGGCGGCATCTCTCTGTGGGCAGGAGGAGAGGTGGATGCAGAGGCATGGGAGGAAGGGCAGAGGCTTTATTGGGGCTGCAGGCGCGGGCCTTGGATGGTGAGGGTGGAGGGTTTGTTGGTGAGGGGGTGCCACTGGCCCTGGATGCTGGGGTTTTTGGTGTGGAAGGGCTTGCGGATGCGGATGATGTCCAGGCCGGACTGGCCAGCCAGCTTGGTGGCCAGCTGCAAGATCTCCTCACTTGTCTTGCTGGCGATGAGCTCCTCCCGCACCGTCCCGTTCACTGCGGCAGAACGGGGGGGTTGTCAGGCCGGGGTCCCCCACAGCCCCTGCCTGCGGCTGGGCAGAGGTAGTGCAGAGCCAGGGCTGGGTGGAGAGGGCCCTGTCCCCATCCTGCCCCCTCAAACCCCCCCACACTCACAGTACTCAGCCAGCAGCATCGGGGCCGGGCAGGAGCGGGGGTTGATGTAGAAAACGACATCGGGGTGCTGCCGGGCGAAGTCTAGCGCCGCCTCCTCCACGAACTGCCTGCGGAGGGGTGTGTGGGCCCTCAGCCCCGGTGGGGTCGGAGGGTGGAGCTCACCGTAGCCCCCACCCCAGGGCAAAGGTCGCAGGTGGGGTCACCCCCCACCCTGGTGCCCTGCCTGCGGGAGGGGTCACAGTGCAGAGGTCGTGGGATGTGCCACCCGCAGGTCAGAGGCCACCACCCAGCTGTCCCCGCGCCGCGGGGCCGGAGGTCAGGGGTCAGCAGTGTCGCCTCCCAGTCCCTCCCCAACACATATGAGGATCACGGCCCCTCCCCTACTCCCACCTCTGCGGGTCAGAGGTCAGCAGCGCCTTCCCCCTCCCCTACACAACCAGGTCAAAGGTCACCACGGCTTCTCGCGAGCCCCTCCCCCACCCGCCACTGGCTCAGCCCAGCCCCACCGACTTGGCTCAGGGGTCACCAAGCCTCTCCCCCCGCCACGGGCAGGGTGCCTCCGACGGTACCTGGCGCCGCGAGCGTCGGCCGCGGTGGGGCTGAAGAGGAGCTG